TCAGACTATCAAGCCCTGAAGTATAATACATGGATATAGAAAACAGATTGTATTTTTCTGATTTTATTTTATTTTATTTTATTTTATTTTATTTTATTTTATTTTATTTTATTTTATTTTATTTTATTTTAATGAACAATTGAATTAATTATTATTAATTATATTAAACAAAAAAATAATATCTTATAATGATTTGAGATATATGTGAAATAAGAATATAATATAAAATAAATATTACGCGAGTATAAGCTTAAGTTTTGAATAATTTTGTTTTTAATCTACATATATATGCATAATATATTCGGGTTTTTACAAAGATATTCGGGTTTTCCTCAATTGTGTTTTATGTTTAATATGTATTAAAAATCATAGCTGTATTAAATAGGTAAAAATTTATAAAATATAACCCGCAAATTTTTGGACGTGTTTAACGAAAACATGTTTTAAGAAACCACATTCTAAGAAACTGTGCTGAAGGCAGGTTATCTGTATATATATGTATATCGAGTTAACAGCTGATATGTTTATTTAATTCTTCTAGCTTAAATGTATTCATGAATGAATGTTATTACTTCAATGTAATACAACTTGTCTAATTTTAATTCGACTATGAGAAAACATCTTACATCAATTCACAGATTTAAAGGTTAAGTTAGGTAAATCTGGCTTACCGTAAAGCAAGAATAAACCTATAGATTCTTAAAGATACAAAAAAAAACCAAAACCGCTATATATTTTGAAAATATATCAGCGAATGTAAAGAGTGCTCAAAACTCTATTCTAAAGACAGAACTTATTTTAGACTGTAGTGGTTTTTGAACCCAGAATTTGTCTGTCGTAGTTCGAGTACATACTTTTTCTGCTATTAACACAACACACACGATCGGAGACTCTTATCCGAACTTATCGGACTATACGAATAGTTAGTAGCACTGAACCAAATTATTTTCGAAATCATTCGCCGATCTCAAAGACAGAATACAAAAAGGCATACAAGTTTTTTACTTTAAATATACATAAACTCAAATTAATAGGTGGTTTTTATAGAGAATAAATTGTAATTAAACAGCTTTTTTCAAAGATGGGATTAAAGATTGCTAATACCTGTAGATTTCATCAAATTTATATGTACACTCCCATATTGATTAATATTATGTGTGGTTATGACAAAAAGCGGGACATATACCTTCATCTGTTGGTCATTGAACCCAAACAAGTCTAGAAGCTTCAATCATGGAAAATTATGAAGTTTATAGTCTTAATTTTTGTCTGGATAAAAATTAGGATTAATGGGCATTATTCTTTTAAAAATAAATTCAATATATAATTACTAATATTAATGACTTCATTGTTATTATATTTTTAAATAAAAAAATATTAGAAAAGTAATTATAATAACTGTATTTATAAATTTTTGCAAAATCATTTCATAAATAGTTTTTAATTGTTTTAAAAATAAGCTTCATTGCTCAGTACAAATAAAATATAAAAATTAATTCAATGAGAATAATAATAATAATTTCAACTACTTTATAAATTTCAATTTTGAAATTGAAAAATAAGTACATTTATTAAAAAATTATATTTAACTGGCACAAAAAACAACAACTCACTTAAAATCAAATTTAGTTGCAATTTTTTTCTAGATAATATAAAAATACTTGCATATTTTCATTTTTATAAGGAAAAAATGCTTTTCAATTTTAGTTTTAAAATGAAATTTCTCGAAATAATACCAATTGCTGCTTTGTTACCAGTTCTTTGTTTCTACTCCAGCATCGCTGGAAAGGTCTGTAAATATTTGCTTTCCTTCAGAAAATATTTACTGAATACAATAACAATTTTTTATCATTTTGTTTAGAATGAATTCGAGGTGTATTTTGAGGAGTGCAAATGCTACTTGTTGAACTCCACAATCCTAAATCTCTTTTCATGTACGTTGAATGCTAGAACTACACGCCGTACATTAAATATGGAATGGATGTTTGGTCAAGACATCAACAACTTTAGCGTTAATATAGTTGTGACAGTACCACGTAAAAATTCAAGGTTACTATTGCTTAACATGACCAATGTTAGTGGATGTGATTTTGTGGCAGACAGAAATAAAATATCTATACTTGGTGTGCTGCGCAAAAATGTGGAACACTACAGCAATATACCCAAAATTTGTCCATTTAAAAAGAAAACTTTATACTATTTAAGAAAATTTCGCTATAATTTACAATTGTACCCGCCCTTTAATATTGAAACTGCTATGGATGTATTTATCGAATTAATGGTAGGAAAAATTAAAATTGCTAACGGCTCTATTAGACACCTTATCTCCGCAAAAAAATAATGAAAGAACAAAGATTTTCGTAAATGAAATAATGTATTTAAATGTGCCTTTAATGCATTCATTTTATTACATACTACAATAAAAAATTTTCTGATAATAACCTGTCTGTTTAATATCGTCATAAAAAATGTACTGACTAAATAAGTCCACAGACTTATTTCGAAAACCAAGGTATTTAGAAACTCGTATTTTGCTACTGTACTTCACGCTCAAGATGTATTTGTTATACTAAAAAAATTATATACAACAATTTCAAAATAAAGTATTTAGAGATGTGGTTAAAGCTTTTTGGTACATTAGAAGCACTGGCATATGCAGTTTCATAAAATACTACCGGTCAAAGTAGGAAAAAACAGGGTCTTCAAATCATATATAGCAGGTCTTGCAACCTATACCAATGTCCAAATTTCCACATGTGAGAAACCCAGCAACTTTATTATGACTTTATTTATTATGATATTATATATAAACTTTAAATTACTATATTCAATTTTTATATATTATATATAATAAAATAAAACTGCTAGCTATTCTAATTCAAGAAACTAATAGCAAAAATAAACAATGAAATAAAAACAGAAATAAGTCTAAGTATTTCCATTGGCATTAGCTTTAGTCTAATAAAATAAATTTTTGGAGTGAAACTTTTTACGAATTCAATTATATTAAATTAACAAATATAGTAGATATGTATAATGTTTTAATGTAAAACACTTATACTATATAGCTACCGAGTATAAGCTTATAATTATAAATATGTATGTTGGTTAGTTCATGTTGATCCTGGGCACTTTTACTCTTTGATAGCTGGTGGTACTACAGGGTCCCACCCATCTCATTGACTAATTTATGTATTCTTTATAAGCTTCATGATTATTTAGTGATTTATCTAAGATCTGCGTACCTCCCCGTGCGAAGAGTGATTACTCTAAAATTAGATAGTGCTAAGTAGGATAGCCTGTCAGTTTTCGAATATAACTTCAGGGCTCTGTCCTTTATGTATTTTTTGATCGGGTCTATTCTAAGATCTCTCAGCATGTCGTTTGTGCGGATGTACCAAGGCACTTTAAAGAGTCTTCGGAAAGCCTGACTTTGAGCAACTTGTAGCTTTTGATAGTAGAGTCGGCAGCTTTGCTATACGAGACACACCCATAAAGTAATGCTGGTCTAATTATCTGGCTATAGATCAGTTTTCTGTTCTTCGCGCTAAGGTTGTTGTGTGTGAAAAGTGGTTGTAAGCATTGCAGTGTTTTAGCGCAACTGCTTCTCTTGTATATGCATATGCCAAGTGAACCGCTTATCAAACGTGATACCTAAGTATTTATACGGCAACAAACAAATACAAAATATGTGTATAGTACGTCTATAAATAAATAATTGATTAATTAGTTAATTGTCAGTGCGAAGTATATTGACTCTTTTCTTCGTTTCTTTCATTTACGATTTGTTTCAATTTCGTTCTGAAAGTTAATTTATGAAAAGAAGATTGTTTTTTTAATCAAATTATCTAAATTGTTGGTTTCAAATTAATAAGTTCTTAAAAACGTTTTAAGCAATTTTTCACAATCAACTTAATTGTAATTTATTGTTTACCCAAATATATTTAAAATAAAATTTAACAAAAAAAAAACAAAATATCAAAAAATTTAAATCCTTTTTCACACTGTTTTTCTTCGTGGTTTCTCTAACCCTTTTTTTATTATATATATAGTATGTTCCAGAATTGTTTTATCATACTCTTTAGGGTTTCCTTCGTAGCTAATCAAAATAAAATCAACTTTTGCTTTATAAGCTGTGAAAATACTTTAAATTGGTTTTTATATGCATTTTTTAGGATATAAAGGATAAATTTTTTTTAATGCTCTTTAAAAAAATGTTTATTTATTTAAAAATAAAGTGTTTTTTTAAAAATAACGGAGCACATATATACATAAAGTATATAATTTTGCACAATATACATACATCGCCATTCCCTTCAATATACAATATGTATATATAACATATATATATATGTATATATAACATATATATATATGTACATATAACATATATATATATATGTATATATAACATATATATATATGTATATATAACAGACTTTATGTTTTTCCTAATATAACATATACGATGTTTTTTCTTTGTTTTTTTTTTAAATTTTTTCTATTTATTTAATATTCATAATGTTCTTATTGATGTGTTTGTATAATTAAAACTTATGTTTTTATTTAAAAAATGCTTGTACATTACAATTCATTGTTTTTAATTAAGTAATTGGTGTAATTTTCATAATTTTTGTAATTTTTATAATTGTCGCCAATTAATTATGTGGGCTTGCTTGTGCGTCCTTTTTAATGTAATTTCTGTCTTATTATCCTCCTCGTGTATTTATTGTAATTATTTGTCTTGTCTGTGCATTTTGTTGTTGTGTGTGTTGTTCTTCGTGTAAAGTTGGGTAAATTTGTATGAGGGCACACAAAATCACTCATACCAGCACTTCGTGTTTAGCGTAAATTATGTACTATATAAGACCATTTTGTGTCAATTTGTATAAAAAACTCGCAAATAATCCATATCGTCTTTTTTCTTCGTTTTTATTGTTTCACTGTTTTTTTTTTCTTTTCTTCTTTTTGGTTCATTCTGTAAGTTTTTGCCCTTACAGCTGCTTTGTTGGGCGCACGTTTTCGTGCTGGCTCCAATGCAGGTATACTCGGTCTGGGCGGTTTGCCCGGACTGGCTGCTGCTGCTAATGCCGCGGATGATGCTGATGGTGCGGAAACTAATAACCTAGATGTACCTGCTGGCTGTAATATGGGCAGAAGAAGAAGTCGTGCAGTTTTGTATCAACTTTCAGGTCATTATAGACCTGAGAAAGTAAAGACTAAGTTAAAATTGGGAAACGTAAGTAAAAGTACTTAAGCACTCAAATCAAAAAACAAAAAAAAAAGGAATAAAAAAACTTTTTTGTGCTTACATTTTTAAAAAATAAACTTTTTTATTTTTCTTCACCATTCCACAAACAATTTTCACAAAACTTACTTAACGCTAAACATACTTAATTAAATTCTTACCTCAACATTTGAAGGAAACTAAAATCTAATTTCGGTTTGTTTTAATCCTTCTGCATCAACAATTGCCATATCCTTCTAGGCATACAATCACCATTAAATCTTTTGTTCTTTTTGTTTGTAGTTTTTGTCTTAAATTTTTCTTTTGTCTGCTTTCTCGTTTAGAAATTGTTGCATTCATCTGAAGCTCCTCTTCCTGAGTACAAAACTCAATCGATAAAGAAGTCACGCTTCATTTTACCCCATTATGGTGTTTTCAAAGGATTCTGGGATTGGATTATACTGGTGTCAACATTTTACGTTGCCATATTGGTGCCATACAACGCTGCCTTCGCCAAAGCGGACCGACAAACAATGGTGTCAGACGTATTTGTCGAGGCAGTTTTCATAATTGGTACGTATGCTCATGAATTTTAGTATCTTTATTTCGTATCTTTCCTTCGACTACCAGCACACCTCCATCGTTTGTTATCAGTGTTTTTCTGTTTTAATTCAATTTGTTACTAAATTGTTTTGTGTATTTTTACTTTTATTTCATTTTATTTGCAGATATTTTGCTTAATTTTCGTACCACTTTTGTGTCCAGTAAAGGAGAAGTGGTATCTGATTCAAAGCTGATAGCCATCAACTATTTAAAAGGCTGGTTTGTAGTGGACTTGTTAGCCGCTTTGCCATTCGATCATTTGTATGCCTCCGACCTTTATAATGGAGAGGTAAGTTCATTTCAAACAAATCAAATTAAGTCAAAGTGTTGATTTTGTGATTTCATCCAAAAAATCTATTATGTTTTGCATACATACTTTTGTAGATTTTATCAAAAAGGGTCAAAAAGGCATACATTAATAAAATTATCATTATTTTGTGCAAACTCAAATCATATAAATAAATTAATAATTAGTGTTTGATAAAGATAAAGAAAAGATTTTTGCCTGCATCATTGAGTTTAGTTCTAAAACCACTATCCATATATGTAATATGATAATAATATTAACCATTAAGGCTAAATAAATTAGCACTGATATATTTTTTTAAATTTTTAAATTTTTATTTATGTGATATATGTTACGTATATTAAAAAAAAGTATCGAAGTTGCAGAGACCTTGTCACTAAGACTTGTTCAGTTATTTTTTTTTTTTCTGTATTAGATTAGTAAATTCACCAAGTTTAAAATGTCTTGACTTAATGTCAAAACTCTGAAATGTTATGTTTATAATAAAAAAAAATGAATAGAAAAAATGACTATTAACAAGATTTATAAATAGTTATCATTTTGGAATTTCAGATCGTGGGACAAGAAATCTATTTCGAATAGAATAGAGTTATAATAGTGAAGAAGTTCTCTGATTAAAAAATTAATTATAACATATTTCATTAGGTCTTAGCACATTGTCATAACTAAGAATTATTAGAGGGTTTCTTGTATCTTTCAAACGATTAATGTTCATAATTATAGATCATAATTATAATTACATATTATATAATTATAGAGTGAAAGCATTTCTAAGCTCTTAATACTCAGTAGTCTTAGTGATATAATGTACATTTTAATAAAAAAGCAACAACAAATATATCCTATAAAAATAGAATACTACAGAAAAATAACACTAAAACAACAGATACTTGTATAGGTATCAGGAATTATGTATATATATGTAACCTGCTGTCAATTATTATTTCCTTGGGTAGTATTACCACTGTTGATGAGAGCAAATGGCGAAAACTAAGTTTCTCCATTCTATTCTGTCATGAACCTTTTGTCGAATCTTCACTACGATCGAAACAGCTGATGTTTTGCTTAAGCATATCACCACAATGTAGTATAAGGACATCCAAATTAACGAAACCTTAATGATTCCATTCGACGAATATTTTGCAATGTCAGAATCTCTTTTGCACAGATCGTCATTCCCTTCTTCTGCTCTCAACAGGGGTTCGCCTGCGGTTATAGTTAATAAATCATTGTTGAAGGTGATCTTTGACCAAGAGATATAGAAAACACCACATAGATGATTCTTTAAAAAAATCTTATTATTTATGGCAGATGTTTTCTTTGATCTTGCAGTTCTCCCATGTGAAGACCGGAACTATTTAGACTTAAGTTTTAGTTTCAATCTTGGGGTGCAATAATCTTAAAGATTTAAAAACACACATGTCTGTTATAGCAAATCAAATGCAATAATATTTTGAAAAAAACTTCATGCGTTTATTAAATTTATTTATAATTTTCCATAAATAGTATTTAATAGTATTAATCATAATTTAGAAAACTAACTCATTTTCAATGTTTAAAGCCCTCTCAAATACTTTCAAATTGTTATTTATTTTTAGAGATGTTAAACCGAAATGTGTATTATTTATCTATTTAAAGAAATTAATTGAAGCCAAGATTATGGAGTATGTATGTGTTACTAAGTTTTCCCCTTCAATGTGAAATAAGTTTTACTACCACGGATCAGTGTAAAACACCAAATCTCTTAAAATAGTTTTAATTTTAATACAAAAGATATAAACTTTATGCAGATACATATTTGCTTTTACAGTAAAAATATAACATTTTCGTGGAGGAGTTGTGTTATGTTCGTAGATACAGAAATTCTTGTGGGTTGGTATTTTCCATTGCTATTTTAATATGCACTCTGAATTAAGTTTTTAAAGTTATTTATTTATTTTATTTTTAAATATTTCGTTTATTTATTATTTTATTTCCTCTAAAATCCTTTTGTAAAAATTTGAAAACCAAAAACGCTTATGTTTTTATAAGTAAAAATTTTTTGCGAATTTGGGTTTAATATTTATTTATTTAGTTCTGTTTATTTTTTTCTTTTGTTTTATTAATATCTCTTTCCTTTCTCCAACTTTCTTTTTATTTTGTGTATTGATTTTAAACTTTAATTTCCAAAGTCCTTTGCGAATTCAATTATTCTGATAAGGAACTAAAAAGCTTAATTTGGTGTTGATCCGATTAGCTCAAGCGGAAGAGGCTCCTGCATAAATACTTTTTAATTGATAAAGTTAATTTTGGAATTATTGCTTGAATTAACTGTGAGCAAAAAGAAAAAGTGGAACTTGCAGACTTATTGAATGTTTGACTCATAGATAAACTTTTTATCGATTTGTTACACTTAAGTTAAGTTAATCTGACTTAATTTAAAACTTTATTTGTATGAAACGATTGATAAGTCAAAAATATAAACACTTAATTTTCTTAAGAATAATTTTGACAAAATTTAATTAATTATATGCAATAAGCCTTCGAAACTAATTTTTATGAGAGTCACTATTTATATTTTGAGCCTGAAAAAATTTTGAACCACGATTAAAATCATTGTACCAGCGTTTCACAGTGACAAAGAATGAAGCTTCATCGCCTAATGTGGTCTACTGTGTGCCCTTCTAGACCAAGCTCTGTTGCTTCAATAAAGAGTATTATAGAAGCTACTTTACAGAGTTTAATTGCTTCTTTTGCAGAGTATACATTTTCAGAAGTCTATGTATGTGCATTAGCGCAGTGCATGCACATGTGTGACTAGCTCTCCACTTTTTTTACAGAATCTACAGTTTGCATACGTATAAATGCCCAGTCTTGTAAGATGATATTTTATATATATTTATGTACCATATATATTTTATTTAAATAGTTTATTTTAAATTGTTTAATTTATAAACCAACACTGCGAGCTTTTTAGTTTCCAATTTTACTAATTTTTAATATTTTTAACAACTTCATAATAAAGTTTTATTGATTAACATCTTACATCTCTGAAAAAAAAACTCTTACTTCTTGGGTATTACTGTTTCATAGCGTATCTGTCATCTGTTAAAAAACTTTCAATGTTTCCTCATAAAAAAAATTTTCCACTTTCTAATTGCTGACAGAGAACTTAAACCTGAAAACTTGAATTATATGAACTTCCTGATTTTGAAGAGTTCCGCAAATATTTTCTATTTTACTTTGACTGACTTTCAACATAAAGACAAAGTATCTTTCTTAAGATTTTTAAGCTGTTTACTTGCATTTCTTTCGCTATGATTAAAGTATTTGTAGAGCAAAGATTTTATATAGTTTGCTGTATAAAAAGATACTTTTTAAAACTCATTCTGCCACAAAGTTTCATAGACAAGAATAAGAAGATTTTATTACTACTTTACTTTACTCTATTATCATGAAACAAAGTAAAATTATAGGTCACTGCAAATTAGTAACTTTCTACGCATATTAAATGGCATTGATTTAAGTAGAAGAAGTAATTATTTAAATTTGTTTACTTTTAACATCATTATTTTTATTTGATAGAAAATATTAAATAATTTTTACAGTATCCTTAAGCACTGTTCTATTTTATTATTTTATATACAAAATATTATTAATATAACTGTATATAATGCTTTGAGATAATTTCTGATAGTAAGCAATAAATATATAACTTGATTCCATATCTGTGCAAACAACTCACATCGTAGAGATAACTGTAGCATAAGGTGGATATAAATTATACGTTACAAATTACTATAAATTAATTAATTATAATTAAGTCTTAAAATAAAAATACATATATTACAGATTAGTTGTTCAATGAATTAAGTAAGAAAGTTAATGTTTACATCCAAATTTTAGAAGTTCTGAAACAACAAAGCTTAGGTATTTCTGTCCTTCGCTGTAGAGCTTGAATAAATTGTTACTATTCGTTATAGATAACTTCTAGATAAAAGCTAATTACTATATCGAATATGCAAAGAAAAAATGTAATTAAAGTCGCACCTGTTTCTATTTTTCGTGTTCTACAATTGGTGTTTATATATATAAATGCAACCCCCGAAAGGTGTACCATCTATTAGAAGATTTAATTACTTTTGAGGCATGTTTCTGATATCACAGGCAGGTCCATTTGTAATGCATTTTACGAGACACAGTTATCTTAAGTACGTTTTTTTACTACGCTATAGTAATATGGGTGTAATGAATTTCTTTTTAATGGAACAGAATTTTGATTTCACCATTGATACTTGGAGATCTCGATAAATGGGAGATTTTTTTTTGTATACGACGATACTTCTATGGCTACTATTGATATTTTAAAATAAGTTTTGTGCAAAATATCTCTATTGGTTATTAATAAATAAAGTAAATTCGTATTAAACTAATTTATATAAATGTATATACAGTACGACCTCGATTAATGCAACTAATAGAATTCGAGAGTGTTGCAATAATCGAGTTTAGTTTATTTAGTGCATATAAAATTGTTTAACCAAATTAAAAGACATTAACACAAAGTTAATTAGAAAATATTATGATTACTTATTTTTATTTACAACAACATAATTGCAATCATACTTTATGATAATAACTTGTTATTTGAACTTGCTTTTATGGCAATTAAGATTCATTGTAACTGCCTCATTTTTTAGATCTTTAAGTATTACAACTTTTGTAAGAGGTATGGAGTTTTCCTCAGCCCATTGTATGAATGTATTAAGTGCATTTATTCCCACGTCATATTTGATTTTAAGTGTAGTTATATTGCCTCTGTTTCCGAGTCTGAATCGATGTCAAGATTCTTATGATTGAGTATATTAATAATAGTTTATCATAAATAATAACACTCTCTTCATATTTAGTTCTTCAGGGGTCAAAAAACCGTGTACTTTTATAGGCAACGTTACTTTTGCATAGAAGGTGTTTACATATAAGACATATAAAGTTTTGTACTGTAGGTATTAGAGTAAGCTATGTTATAAAAAAATAATATAAAATAGTACTAAATGTTAACCCTCTCCAACCTTACTTTAACCCATTAAGAAAAATTAACTCTACAAATGGGCAATTTTAAAATGATTACGTAGACGTTTGTATAGAATCTATAGAAAAAAGCTGTATTTCTCAAAAATAATGTGCGTCAAAAAACCTTTCAATTTCCCTAAAATCATTACTATAGAGACATTATAGCAGACCCTATGCTCTAATGGAAGATACAGGAACTGATGAAAACCATTACTTTGCTAGTTATTTGCTGAAAACTGATATTTTTATTAATTTTCCAATACTTTAAATACAGAACGTCTTTTCCTGATTTACTTTAATGGTGAAAATATTATAAAAAGGTACATAGTTTCTCATATTTAAAGAAAAAAATTGTGGTAGACGTTTATAAAGAAATCCAATTTTCATGAAATTAAAATCACCCTAAGTAACATCCATGAGATCGGGTATTTAATTTAGTTAATTTGTAAATATGAAAAAATGAAGCACGTTTTAACATTTATGAAAATACCAGAAACCCATATTCGTTGAAAAGATATGAAAAATACTGTACGACTGTATAAAAATACTTACTATCCTTTTGCAATATACGTGTCCCATATTCTAATGTTCACCCTATAATGAAAACGATAATTAGCTACTTCATAGATACATGTAGTAGAATTAGTTAGTTTTTTTTTAATTAACTTACAAGGTGCATTTTGAAGCTTTTACCATTCATTCACTCAACGCGTTCCAAAAAATTCCAACATTTTTTGTTCAGAAGTTTAGAATTCTTACACAAAAAAATTGAGGTAGTCAATCAGACAAAGACCTTGCAAAGGGTTTCACACTAAAGCTTCTTTGAATCACTGCTCTTAGAAGCATATAAAATAGAGAACGTGTAGTTAAAATATTATGTTAATTTTTCATTCAATTAAGTTTTTTAGTTCTATAACAAATATGCTAAGAGCTCTCAGCCCATTTTGTTATCATTTAAATAAAAAATTTATTCAATTTGATTTATACTTGTATGTATGTACATGGCTTTTCTTATTAGTTATTTGATTAATAAGCTACACTACTTAATTGAGAAAAAGATACAAAATTTTAAATGGAAAAGTTTGAAAGAAATAAATAAAGTGAAAAATTATGTTTCACAGTTTATAAAACTTTTTTGCAACAAACAGAACTTTTAATTATCAACATTAAAATACGCTCCGAGAATTATACATACATATTTCCTTCCTTTATAGCTTTCTTAGTGCCTTGTTGGCATTGGTCAAATAAGTCAGTTTCCTAACTCAATAAGATACTTTAGCAAAGTTTCTACTTAACCACAGGATATTTAAAAAATTCAACTAAAAATATCTCAAACTGTTGCTTAAGTTTAAACAGTATAAAAAAATCTTCCTGAATATTCAACGAATGTTTAAATGTATATCAATATTTTTCCTTGTTATTGTTTTTATGTACTTTACTTGAAAGTAAAAAGTATCTACGTGTTCACTTAATTTATGACAAACTTTTTTGATTGCGTATTGCCTTTTGCCTGTCATAAATCTTAAGCTGTTAAAAAGCATTTTTTCCTTTAATTCCTGCTTCCTTTATGTATATTCATTTTATTATTTCATGTGCTCACATCCAACTTGAATTCAATTTGATTCGATTCTCGTTACCGAGAAACCTAGGGATGTGACACAAGTAAGCCGGAATTGGTGTGATGCTGTAATAATTTTAAAAATTAATAAACTGTTTTGTTAGGAACATTAGCAACACATCATCTGCTTTATGGTTTGGCATGACTTTAAAATTTCATGATTCTAAATTATGATATGACACGTCAAGGATGTATAGCACAATCTGTGCAGATACAAAGTAATGCTATATATGGCATGGAGGATAATTTCTGAGCAAAGTTAAAGAGCAGACAAGTGAAAAGTAAATTTATCGAAGGGGTGTGTTAATTTGTTAAATGTGGAGCAGAGTTTGTACATTTTACACATATTATACTTGTATATTCTTTGATTTATAATGTGGATGATGAAGTTGTTTGAATTAAAGACTAGAATTTCTCTTGATTTTCTAGTCAATAATAAAAGAAAAAAGTTAACAGACAGTTAAATAGCAAATTAATAGCAAGCTTAAGCAAATATATATATATATATATTGTTATAAATAACCTCCATAGGTGTAGCAATTAAATGATGGAATTCATTTCTTCTTTATTATAGCAATTCATACCCAAATTGTTATTTTCTTCTCTAGTATACATATTAATCTACATATCATATTAATCAAAAAAAAAGGGGTCTAAGTTCATATATATATTGAAATTTATTTATAATATAAAACCCTACATATATTCATATTAAACAAAAAAGTTCATTTGTAAGGTAGAATAAGGTATATAAGGTTTAGAATAAGGTATAATCAACTAATTTCATGAATTCGTTAACTGAATCATTCCAGGCCCCTTACCACATCTCAGAATTTGTTTGAAATAAAGTTTATGTGGTACATTAAATACTCTACTTAATCATTATAGACCATTGCAAATATCTCTTACAAAAATCAAGTGGCAACTTTTCAATATTTAGCCAGACCGACAAGTGGATATTAAGAAACTGATTCGCTTTATCCTTCAGATCAACAATACTATATATATGAAGTTCATATAGTCTTCGGCTTCTGACTTCCAATTCAATTGTATGACTCAGTCATTTAATTCACAAAAGTGAACAACTTAAAGTGTCTTGATTCAAGTCACTTTAAGATCTAATCTAAAACCACTCTTTAAAAATTCTTAAAAACATATTTGGTAGCCTTATCTAATGAGTGTCACTTCAAACATATTCCTTGAATTCACAAAAATGCTAAGTGTAAAAATGTAAGAAGGGTTCAAACAGTACTAAAGAAACAATAACAAAAATTTTAATTAATTTATTGAAATTTGGCTGAACATACAACGCTATTTCGAGTATTGCCAAGTATTGATAGCTTTTTTCGGAACCACTACAGGACATATATCTCTACTTAGAATAAATGTTATATGTTTCCATTTATTTATTTGGTTTATAAGACAATCAAGTGGCTACTATGGATATAATTTTTAACTGATAATTGCAGAATCAAGTACAATTTTTCATGTCATTTATTCTATACTTGTAGGTATTTGAGCTGCAAATAATGCAATAAAATTATGTAGGTAACTTAAAATAAAGAAACGAAAATTTAGATTTATTTAAAACTCTTACTTTAAACTTTAAAATGCTTCAAAAATTGTATTCAATATCACGTCAATCCTTTTAAAATTTAAAAATAGTGGTTTGAAATCCTGTGGGTATATAATGGTTAACTATTCCATAAATAAGGGAACTGTGATTTGCCTTACTATATTCAGAATGAATCTTATTCTAAATTCTTTCGAAAATGATCTACATGACTTTGTTGATATAATGCCCAATATTTTTTTGCATGACCAAAAGGTTTTCACAAAAAGTCAGGTAACAAAAACTTTTTAGAAAACAATAGTCTATAAACTAAGTGCAAAATTATTAAGTGAACTGACAACAGATTACAATACTGACAGATACTTTTAACATCAACAATTACAAGCAATTCAAATTAAACAAAATTTAAATCAGATCAATTAGTTAACCAAGCGACTGCTTTATAAATGAATTTAATAAAAAAAACAATACTGAGGTAGATCGGTAGTACTCATCTTAAATATTTTATTTAACATTCGTGATAAAATTGCTGTTTAATTAATATATTAAAAATTATCAAATTGTAAACATTTAATAAAATTTACATCTGAAACCATGAAATAAATACCGGTGTGAAATAAAATATAACTATTGATATGATTTTAATTGAATAAAAAAATTTAAGTTTAAATTTTTTATCTCAATACTTTTATATATATTATTTTTCCCACAGGAATCACATATTCATCTTGTGAAACTAACACGCCTGTTGCGTTTAGCACGTTTGCTACAGAAAATGGATCGATACTCACAATACACGGCCATGATATTGACTTTGTTAATGTTAAGCTTCACGCTGGTTGCACATTGGTTGGCGTGCATCTGGTATATCATTGCCGAAAAGGAGCACTTGATAAATGACAACGACTGGAAAATAGGTGAGTTGGGCAAACAGAAAAAAAAGCATTGTATACAATGATTCCATGTGTATATATCTTTTGATATGTTAACATAGAAACAGAACCTGTTGATGGCTTTATGCAGTGGCTTTAATCCAATATATCTACTCATGTATGCTTGTGTTTTATAATCCTGTTCACTTTGTTCGTATAGCCGAGGGCATTTTTTTTTTAACTGAAACATATCCACTGAAGTGTGGTATATACAAATTGCATCAACATAGATGCGACCGACAACTGATGTGTCAATATGAATGATGCATTTGTATCAATCATCCTAGTTGCAGAATGAACTACTTTATTCAATTTTTCAATTTTCTTGCTAACTTTTCTTTTTTTTTTTTGTTTTGTTTTGGTTTTATTAAAGCATCCTTCGCACTTTATCTGTAGGAAAATGTCCTTCTGTTTTATATATGTGTTTAATTGTACTTCCTTGTGTGAATCCTATTTTACATATTCTTCAATGGAAATAACTTTGAAACTATAAATGAAAATTTTCAGAAAACATTTGTTAAGATATGGTAATTGAATGTAAAAAAATGACCATAATTTGGACAAATGTAACTTTGAATTTAATTAAGTTTGATTTTAAATCTGATAGCTACGAAATCAGATTATGTTTTTAACTTAATATATGTATATCGTTAAGATACGTTAGGTTGGGTAATACTGGCGATCCAAAAGGGATCCACTAAGGCCTATTGGCTCATTGTGCTACCGTATAATAGAAAAGTACAATAACCAGTACAATAAGATATATTTCTTACATCCTTTGGTTTATTTTGTATTCCCAAAACTGTTTGTTTTTCTTTTATTATTACTTTTATTTATTAATATTTAAAAAATATTACACCCCTTCAAAAACAATTCAGATAATATTCAATTTTATTACAGTATTATTATAGAAATTTTTAAAAATTTCAAACAAAATAAAATATGACTCGAAAGACACTGTAAAAATGACAAAATTTTCAGTTATACAAACTATAAGTCTCTGTCTGTACTAATCCATAAAATCATCTCTAAGTTTTAAATTGAAATTAATCCAAAACTACACAATTCTTTGGTATAAAAGTTTTGACAATATCGAAAGAATTAAAAAAGCGTTAAGTAAATATACTATAATCTTTTCATAAGACCCTTGCTGAGTATTACTCGCTTATTAATCTGACTTAGTTTCTAGATAAATCGAATATAAACTCTTTTCAATATCCTGAACTGATGTTAAATGCTTAAAGCTATTTGTGTAAGTAAATCAGATTGAAAACCAAGTTTTTCTATCTCAATAAATTTGAAAATAATCTTATTTATGCTTTCTGAATAAATATACTTTTATTATTTATATCCCTTCAAACTTTAGACATAAAAATGCAGAGTAAAACTTGTGTTTATCTTAAACTAATGTCCTGAGATTATCGGAAAAAAGTTCTGCATCTTCTTATTTCTATTAAATAAAAAAAGATCTAGAAACATGAACCAAAGTTTTTTAAGAGAATTGATCTATTGTTTCAATAGAGACAGTAGAATGCATTTCATAATTTCCCACGTTTTACTTCGAAAGCATCATGTATGCAGTCATAATAAAGGGTTTACTGAGATGTTTGTAAACTGATAAAGAAAACATCAATCATATAAGGAATATTATCTTCAATGAGTGAACCAAATCTAATTGATCCAGCAATTTTTCTCTGTTTGGGTATTTGTACATATACTAGTCTATGAGTTTACATGATTGATTTTTTATAATAAAGAAATTTTTGAATTTTTTTTTAAAAATTTTTTTGATATTTGTATAGCGATTAATAGTTCTGCAACTTCTGAATATATTTTTCCGTACCTAAACTTAATGTAATAAAAACAGTTGATTGTCTGTATCTTATTGTATTCTTATGAACAAAATAATCAGAAATAACTCTTCTTCATATTTTAAATAGAATTGGGGGTCTGCGTGTTTTAAAAATGACTACCTCACAAACTGACAGTTTTGACACAAGTTTTTAGAGGAAATATCTTCATATCTAACCCCTAAATCAAACTTAACTTTAAAGATAGTTATTAAAAATAGAATCGATTGATTAGATTTAAATATAATTGTTAGACTACATATTAACCCAATTCCAAATAAAGATTTTCGTTTTATATGTTAACAAGTATAAAACCAAAAATAAATCGATTTTAGATTTTTATTATACCAATAATCCAAAAACTTCTTATATAGTGAGGGTCTTACGCATAAAAAGTGCTAATGCGGACATTATCACCAGGTTTTGTAATCTAAATATATCAAATAGCTAAAAACTATTGTTATTTATGGACAAATATATACATTAATACATTATATACATTATCAAAATTAAAATTTCTTCTTAAGGTTGGATGCATGCTTTAGCGGAACGATTACGAGTGCCAATATCTAATATAACGAATGCTGAAGCATATTCTACGGCGCTCTATTTTACTTTGACTAGTTTAACGTCTGTTGGTTTTGGTAATGTTTCCGCTAATACCACCGTTGAGAAAGTTTTCTCTATTGTCATGATGCTTATTGGTGGTAAGTATCGATTGCTATAAACAAGTTCACATTTTCCATAACTTTTTAATTAACATATGTAAAATCAAACTTTTAATATATTTAAGCTCTTATGCATGCCGTGGTTTTTGGTAATGTGACCGCAATTATTCAACGCATGTATGCTCGTCGTTCCTTGTATGAGAGTAAATGGCGCGATTTGAAGGACTTTATTGCTTTACATCAGGTAAACAAAAACATATTATATACAATGTAATTATGTACAATATTAGATAAATTAAAGCTTCATATAACAAAATTTTATTAGAAATGAAATAAATATTTTTAATAATCTGTATTATGTGCTGTTTTCCACTAAGTTCTTATTATTTATTTATATTTTTTTAAACTTTTCACTGAATTAAATTAAAGTCTTTTTAACTCGTTATTAACTATATTCTTAAGCCATAAGTTTCATTGAAAAATAAAAGAGCTTCTTTAATTCAATAATTTAAAATTAGACTTAACAATCATAAAAGATAGCTAAGGAGAGAAGTAGAAATGTGAAAAAATATTTAAATTGTTAAATTGTTAATAAAAACTTTCATAGAAAAAGTAACAAAACTCCAGAAAAATGTGCGAACATAAAAAGTCAAATACGGATTTTTGTTAGTTGGTTAGGTGCGCTGATTCTGAGCTTCACATTTGGCAGGACCCGAGTTCGATTCCTGGTACTTGCAGTCTCAAAAAATAATTAAATAATTATTAAATAATTAAAAATAATTAAATACAAGAATTATTTCCAAGACCACTGATAATGGGTATTTGGCAATACTCGAAACAGCTATATGGTCAGCCAAAAATTCACTTAATTAAAATAATATAAAAAATAAAATTTTTGTTGTTGTAGTTCACTACTGTTCGAAAAAACATCTTTAAAAAATATTTAAAGTAATATAATCGTGTTAAAATATGATTTATTCAATTCTTTGAGCTTCTTATGATATGGTTCATCTACCACTGAGGTTAATCTCTTAGCTAATATATTATTGAACAACTGTCTGTGCTTTAATCATTAACATTTTTATTTTATTGTTGAACTTTGTATTCATTAAGCCAACATCTACTTCTGAGCAAAAAATTTAGCTTGTTTGGATATTTTAGAAAAAGATAATAGATTATGAAAGAAATTATTTGAACAGTATAATATATATTCACAAACAAAATGTTCACGCTTTAAAGACTCAAGAACCTCAGAAATGTACTTATTAAAAGTTTTTATTTTATTTTAATAGCATTTAAAATGAAATTAAAATTATTTATATTGGAGTGATTACCTTTCTAGTTAGTTTCAATTAAATGGTAAATTAATTTAACGATTTCTTACTGCGTAATAAATCTTCCGCTTTTAATTGGTTCACTTCAATGTAATAAATCTTGGTGCATATCCCCCAAATCATTTCCAAGAGGTAAATTTAAATGACATCAACATTGTCAATAAAAAAACTTTTCTCCTTAGCCAATTGCTTACAGCAATAAAATAAGATAAGTCAATTTATAGAAACATTTGTATCCTCTTAAGAGTTATCATCCCCACACACATTGATTCCACGTGCATAAAATTGCACGCACTCACTTGTAAAACTAGCAATTCCTGAGTTGGTGAAAGAATTTTACTTTACTTCCCTGTACGATTTAATCAAAAAGTCAAATAACTTAATAAGTCTTACCTTAAATGGACTCATTGGGAACTCATGGATAAACAGTAACAAATAGATTTACTACGTCAATCCTGGGTATCGAAGCAGATCATTTCATGTTAAAAATTTCAAATGTGCAGAGTCTGAAAAATGAATCCAAACCTGCAGCAGCCTTGTGGACATACGAGAATTCCATTTAAGCAACACAATAATTATTTCTTTTGTGCAGATGGTCAAGTTTCCGAGTGAATTTCTATTTCACTGAAATGCAGTGCACATATCCAACGCATTGATGTGGAAATTGTAGAAAAACATAAACCACTTTTCGATCAGGTGTATGTGAAGCTCTCATGTGGAAGGTTTAAAATACGAGTACTGCAACTACTCATACTAAACTTACTTACCAACGTAGCACAATATTTAATTGTAGTATTGGCAGCAAGTCCACTGGGTTAACATAGTATTTATTGTGTTAATAGTTTTAACTTGTGACACAGTGTAGCTTAAAGCCCAACCAATAACGCCCACTTTGAAATGGTTTTTAATGCGTTTTGCTATCGAAAGAAAATGATAGCATAAAATTAAACAAGAAGTCAGTAAAATGCTGTGAGTAATAAAAGTGTTTTACTAGTAATAAGGAAAAAATGTTGCAAATACATTAAGACACATACATGACATGTACATTCAATGTCAGTTAATAACTTCATCAGGTGTATAAATAGTAGAAACATAACACCGAGGCGTTACATAGCACAATTAGCATTTGTAACGTTGATAGCTATTTTTGTTATACTTTGCAATGGCGTGAATACTTAAATACTTAAAGAGTATTCAACATAACTTTAAAAATTACGAGTTCATTCAAAATTACAAAGCCATCTAACAATGAATTTGAGGATATCTTATAACAATTGCTCTAGCATAACGCCACGGAACACCCATAAGTAAGCTATGTCACATACTCACTCCAACAAACTTACTACTCACTACAACTTACTACATTTTATTTCTTCTGGTTATAATGCAATATTGAGCCCAATTAAAACGGACGAATGAAGAATTAAACTTCTTCATTGCGATGTAATATTGTAAGAGCCGGACCTACTAAATTCTTCTTATTTCGACAATCGTTAGTCCTTTTCTCTCACCCTTTCCAAAATCTTGTTATCAATGATATCTTTGGGCACAATTGAACTCAATTAAAACTGACGAATGAAGAATTAAATTTCTTCATTGCCATGTAATATTGTGAGAGCCAGACCTACTACATTCTTCTTACTTCGACAATCGTTAGTCCTTTTCTCTCACCCTTTCCAAAATCTTGTTATAAATAATATCTTTGGGCACCGAACAGATCTGTCTCCTTATCAGAATTTGTCTTTGAAGACCCAACACTTACTCGAATCTATACAGTCTCAAAAGTTTACTAACAAGCGCAATTAAACCAAGACCTAATAAAACTTGTATTTTATAATAGCTTAAGATATTAACCATTACCTGATTAATGTTAAAACGAGACAATTCATAACTCCTGCGTTTTCATAAAGAAAAGGTCAAACTTGAAAAACTTATTACTACATTTCTACTATATTTCCTAAGACTACTAGTGATGAGTACTTGGTAATACTCGAAATAGCGTTGCATGGTGAGCCAAATTACAATAAATTAACTAAATTTTTGTTCTTGTTTTTTCTTTGCTATTCGACTCCTTCTAACTTTTAAATAGTTTCTTTTACTAGTTTCGAAGTGGCGACTCAAAATAAGAATTATAATACATTGAAAATATTATTAAGTATGTTGTAATAACAGTCAAACTTCCATAACTTGAAGTACCATATTGTAAAGAAAAGTTTCGACTTTTGGAGACTTTTTGGAGTTAAAGAACTTTTTTGTAATTGTATGCAATTTGCTCTCCAAACCCTATTGCACTCTATTTAGTTGGAGTTATAGAAAATTCGAGTTACAGAAATTCGAGTTATGGAGGATTGACCGTATTTATTATTTATTAATAAATGACAAATACGAAATATATTATTTTATTATTGTGTATCTTCCAAAATTATTATTTTTTCATTTTCTTTTAATAACTTTAAAATCAAATCAACCTTAATCCCAGAATCTAATATATTGTAGTATTTACACGTGTACGTTAAACACAATATTTACTCATTATTTGCTGTTGAAGCATAATTTCACAAATTTGTAGTATATGTACACAGATAATAATAATAATAATAAATAATTTGCAATAATCTATAGCTACAGCACTTATTAAAATTCAATATTGTTCTTCTATTTTCAATTTTGGTTCTACGTATGTCAACAACATAAACCATTGCCTTCTGCTGTTGTGTCTGCGCGACTTGCATATGTGTGGGAACAACCAAACAACCACAGATGCCGAAGGAACTGAAACAAAGGATAGAAGATTACTTCCAAACGTCATGGTCACTTAACCATGGAATTGATATATACGAGGTAAGTAACTGCATAACAGTGAAAATCATTATAATTTTGCTGTCACTCGATACCTAAAACTGTCTGTTTGTCTGCCTGTGTCAAAACAATGCGTGCTTAGAACACAATGTGAACACACTGTGAAGCTTTCACAACAAAGAATTTCATTAACTTGGCCATATTTTTGAATCCAAATTCATGCTATGGCTTTTACCTAAATGTGCATAAATTTTCAATATTAATAATGGTGGCATCAATAGCAGCAATTTTGAAATGAACTAATAAAGTGACAATCATTTGCATATACATACCCATATGTAGTGCCATATATAATTTTACAAACCCATTTTAAGCTAAAGTGAACCAAGTTGATACGAGTCAATTTTTTGTTTATTATGTTTAACATTTTTTTTTTCATCTTCAAAATATGTACATGGACTACCACAATAATTTCGATTATACTTGTCGATTTTGGTCTATACATGTTTTAAATTCAGAATAAATATGTGGACCCTATTCTCATCTTCATCATCTTTATCAAGTTCTAAACTGTCATTCACTCACTTTTAGGTTATCTCGTACAAGCGTGCTAAAGTGTCGTTCCATGGGTTTGTTATTCTTAAACGAAAAACAAAACAAAAATTTTAATAAAAATAAATAAAAACCATTTAAAAAATATGAGAATATGAGAAAATAAGTGTATTGAGAAAGCCGCATGTCCTGTTTATAAATAATAAATTTATTTAAAATGCTCCTTTATTATTTGAAATTATTTATGCGGTTCTTTTTGAACTACACGAAATTTAAATTTTATTTTTATGTGCATAACTCTAAGTCCAATGTGTTTACTAAATGAATTTCCAATGAAAATGGAGAAAATAAACTCAACTTCACGTATTCTGGTTACATTGACTTTTGAATAAAGAATCCCAAAAAAAGGTCTGTCGACTACATTTTCCAACATTAGAAGTTTATTCACATATTTATGACTTAAATAAATAATATTTAAAAAATATGTTTAAATTGTGTAAACCATAAAGTATTCATAAATTTAAACATTTACTTTAAAGGAAAAAAGATACATTACATATTTTAGTATTATATATGACATTAAAATGTGGAATTTATATTTGCATTCAGTACATTATTTATGACAACGTATACGTGAATACAAGTAAATAGAGAACAATAAAAAAAAATGCATTTATTGTTAAATATTTTTAAATTTTTAAAAAAAATTAATATAGAATTAAAACCATGAACTAAGAAGTATTTAGATAATATAGAGCGACGATAATTAATAATCAGTTACAATAAAATTTTATTTTCATTTACTTGAATATTCATTTTGAACTAACTGCTGAGTATTATAAAATATTCATCATCTGTAGTTTTTAAATTTTGCATTTAATTATTTGTGAATAATTTTTAGACTACAAGTACCAAAAATTGCACTCATACTCTGTCAAACTTAAGGTGCAGAGTCACGTTTATTAATGAACTTACCCAATTCCGTACTGGACTTGTGTTGTTTAAACTTGCAGTTTTATGAAGTCGTTATTGTTATTCAACCAACAATATCTTTCGCTGCGTTTTACTATGTACAATAAATAACAACTATGGTATATATTAATGCAAGTAAAAATCGCAAGTCATTTGCAATTTTAATGCCAGCATCGCTAGAATGAAGTTCGTTGCTAACGTTAACGGTCATGTTGATTCTCCAGAACTATGGAAAATATTATTCCCAAATAAGTACAGATAAGATATTTTTTTTTCGGTGCATGTTAATTTATTTCAAAAGGTAATATTATATAGTGCAGAGCCCAATGATCTGTAAATGCATTGATCTATCTTTAGCTAGTTCAAACTTATTATTCGATAGAACATCTTATCGCCTTTATCTCTGTAACAGCAGAATGCTAGCAAAGTCATTGCATGTTAGGCTGTCAAACAATGTTAATATGGTAAAAATAAATAATAATAATAAAAATCATACATCTCTTGATCGATTTAAATAAGGTTGTCTACTTTAACATGTAGGAGATCGAAAATTTTGAAGTAGGAGAAGTTTTCTGTCGAAAAAACTCTTAGTATTACACAAAGTACATTTCAAAATAAATAAATTATTTAAGAATAGATACTTGTAGTATTTGCATCAGCAAGACAGAACTACATATATGTAGGAATGTAAGAATGCTGAGCAAGGCAATCTACATTTTGTATTATATAAATTATATAAAGGTATCATGTAATTGCTCTCAAACAGCAGAAACATATTGTATAAAAGTCTCATATATTTGTAATTGCTCTCAAACGAGAGAAATATCTTGTAAACTAACAAGAAATAATAAAAGTTAATATAGTTTAATGCTTAGAGCAATAAACAACGCGTTTAACTTACTCTACATATATGCTATAAACATATAATCCATGAAAACATATGCTAACGAAAGTTAAATATTCCAAATTTCAATAAATTAACTAAATTTTTGTTCTTGTTTTTTCTTTGCTATTCGACTCCTTCTAACTTTTAAATATTTTCGCTTCGTCATTAAGACGTGGCGCTCCCGGCAAGAAAAATTAACATTAGAAAGTTCATAACTTTTGGAAGTTATTGTTATGAAATTATTGTATCTAAAATGAAACTGACAGTCTTTAAGGATACAAGTCTATTGGATAGATTTTTCATTCACAAAATGCTTTATTTTTCCAAGAAGAAAAATATCGCACTATGCTAAATCTTGTGAATATAAGAAGCATTGGCAATCACAAAAAAAAATCACTTTTAAACATGAATCCACAAAATGCCAAAGGAATTTCTTCTCCAAATACTTCTTTTTTAAAAGTATTGTGTCATTGGGACATCATCTTATATATACGTTAACAGTATCTAATGATAAGATAACAGTAATTCTTCATTGAATAAGTAAAATGACATTTTATAATTCCATTATCTCTTGAATATCATATCTTTAAAATTTTAACTTGAAAGAAATAAGTTGGAATAGATTTGTCCTTTCAGTCTTACAATGAACTCCTCCAGCGGTGAAGGGCTTAAAATTTTTCCGCGGTAGCATGCATGTCGTAAGAGACGACTAAAATTCCTGTGACACTTGTGCTTGAAGTGTACATTGTAGTAGGTGTTGTCCCAACCTACGACATTTGACCAGAGGTGTACCTCAGGAGTTAGTGGCCCGCAGCTTCGGCTCGAGAGTTAATACCCAAAACTACCCAAATTTACGCGGAAGGCATGATCAGGTATTTGTTTATCATTCATTCTGCATGGAGTGGGTATTCATCATCAGGTGCTGTGACTCAAAGATCAGCAGAGGTTTAAGATCGGCCTCACATTAAACCAAGGTGGAAGTTATGTCCTGCACACATTTCTTCATTTGGCACCGGTGGAAATTCTTGAATTTTCAATGCGGTGTTGATTGACGCCTTGTATCAGTACGCGTGTTTTTGAACACCATAGTGTTTAGCCTCCACGGCATAGAACGCTATGTAAAATAATAATAGAGATCTAGATCTAGTCTTACAGTGCCCACAATAACCTTATTCTAATTACTTAATATATTTAATAAAACACTTAAAGTCAGGCAAATTATTTAAAAGTCGTTTATATTTTACAAATGCAGTTCTCATTTAGACAGTGTCATTAATCTCAAGGTATATAAATCATTCATAAATTTGTGTTATAAGTTAATCTTAGATTCTCTTTTTATTAGCATCTATTTTCTAATAGTTGATTGAAATAAGAACATTTCACATAAAGACTTTGATACGAGTACTGTAGGTTACATATAGATCTCCCATCTTCAACTAAAATGCATTAAATACAAAAATAATACAGAAAATATAGCTAAAATGTTGATGTCGAAATAAAAATAAAAATTAAATGTTTTATGTATTATTTTATTTAGAGCGCTTCTAAGACTTTTCAAAAATTGCTATCTGAGCTTTGAGCAAGCACTTAAAATTAATATCTGTCACATTTACCATCCATCGTTACTCGGCTTTATTTATATATTTCTTAATTGCAAGGAAATAATAAAATTTTTTATTGTTTTTACTTAAAGAGTCATGAATATTTTAATAAAACAAACCTAACAGATACAAGCAACATATTTACTAAACTAATATATTTTCAAGGGAACCATTTTTGCTATCACATTTACTATAAATATTCTCTGAAAAGCGTTTACTGCTTTTCATTATAATAAAAATGCATTTAAACTGAAGTTTTACTGTATATAGCATATTTCATTTTAAATTGCATCTGATAAGTGAAAAACTTAAAAATAAAAACTTTTGTGAAAAAATAGTACTCAAAGGATCATTTTTAACTTTTAATGAAATTCCAACCATTTTTTACAGTCGAAGTCGTTTACAGAATGAAATAAATGGACGTACTTTCATGCAAGGAGCTCTTAAATCATGTTTTATTTTCTATTTATCTTTGATTATAAGCACTTACTATATCAGCTGTGAACGCATTAGAAAAATTAAACGTAAATTGTATCATATCAAGATATAAATAAATACTTTTATTTATATTGTAACTAGGAATTTGTCTTCGAACTTTTTCAAAATAAATCAATGAAGTTTGTAATTCAGGGAAGTTGACATTAGAACCCTATCAAGTAGATATATATTTTTAAGATGACCATACCAGTCAATATGTTTGTCTGCCTGTTTGTCTGTATGTCAAGTATTTACTCACTGACCAAAAGTGCTGTTGTGATTTCAGTTATAGAGTGAAAAGATTTACTAACTAAAATGGTAGTCGAATCAGTTATAGAGAAGACAGTAGGTTCATGCAAGCACCACTTAGTACATGTTTATATCACTAGAATAAATATGATACAATGATGATATCCGCAGGATTATCATTGTAGTTGATCAAACATGAGTAACACTCATGAAGCAATTTCCAAACTAATGGAAACTAATGGTACGCCATGGTACGGTGGCAAGCACGGAATTCTTTCCGGGTTTGGAGGTACGTCTTAACATCAGTATTCCACAGTCGACATGAAGAAAAAAATCTTGTGTTATATATTTGAATCTTATCGATCAATTGTCAATTGAAGCAATAAAATGGAATTTACAATTTTTTTTGTTTTGAATTATATACTCGTACAATGAAAAAGTTTATTAAA